ACAAAATTGTAACTCAAAAAGAATTAAATGACTTATATGAACATAGAGGACCATAAATAGAGCTTAAATATGCTGATATCATGAAACTGTATTTGTTACAATTTTCTTTAATCATTTACTTCCACTTGGATGTTTTATAACCTTTGTAAGTTTATTATGTTATTATTAGGCACAAAAAGTATTATATTTATCTAAAATTTAGTATATAGCATGTACTAGAAAAACCATAAAATTTATTCCTTCAGTTAGAGTATCACTATTAGTGACAAAATGATGGGTTACTTACCAATATTATATTCAATCGGATCATTAATTTTCAATAATTAAATTAATGGAAGCACAATTTTTGGGATATTGCATCAATTTTAATTTCATTTTTGAGTTCAGTTATGCCAAAGTAAGAGTATTTATAAAGCTATTATTAATAAGAAAAGTAAGTCCAAATTACTTACATACTATATGCAAAATCTAGTGAATAAATACAATTGTAAACATTAATAAATCATTCATAACTAATTAAAATTTAGAAACTATCAATTTCGAAATCAAATTGTTGAAAATTGTATAAATAGCTTTTCAAAATTCTCTCATATATAAAATAAGGAAAATATCATTACTATAAATTATTAAATAATGCTTTATATAATTATAGGATAGAAAAAATATAAAATATTTCAAAGTTTTTGTTTCACTTATTAATTTAATACAATCAATTGATAAATAAAATAAAGCATAAGTTAATTAATAATGTGTGGCGAGTTTATGATAAATTTCGATCTTTCTAAGAAATTTTTACGATTAAATCTATAGGATATTAATATTTGAAATAAAAACTAGAAATGGAAATTATTAAATAAATAAGGATGTATATTTAGATACTTTTCACCAAATTTGCCAGAAAATCCTCAAAAATAAGAAATATTTATTAATAATTTTAACAGCTTTTCATTCAAATCTGAAACTTGAATACTTTATAATTTTTATGAATCAGTTTTTTATTTCTTTTGATTAATAAGGTATGGATAAGTATTTCAAGACAAAATATTAGAGATACCTGTATAGACACCACGATAATGATCTAAAGTATAAGGAGATATTATTTAGCTGATTTAGAACTGTATTATATTAGCTAATAATCGGTATAAAAACATAGCTTATAATTTTTTATGAATATTTTTATTCTTCTAAAGATATTGATTTTTTTCTATTTAAGATAATCACTTCCTTTATAATTTTCTTTGGCTCTTAGACTATTTCTGTAAATAGATTGATTTTTTTCAATAATAAAATTCAGATCCCTTTAGAAATATTAAATCCTTATAACTCTACTTTTGCGAGAATTTTAAAAGATTTAGAACTTTCTTTAAAAACCTTTGAATTTAGGAAATAAGGGTTAAACTAAGAATGAGCTAAATCATTTGGTTTATTTTAGATTTCAATAGTGTAATCTTTTTAGCTGCATTCTAAGCAATTGAAATTCAGATTTTGAAAAATAAGCCCATAAAACATTTCCAATTTTAATAGATCAAAAGGTAAGATCCAATTCTTGATATAACCCTTTTTAACTCCTACTGTAGTACTTTCAGGTAGTAAAAGAGATCCTATTTGTGCAGTTATTTTGATTAATCGGTTTTGTCTCAAGAATGGGCTTTTCCAAGCCATATTTGATCATAAATTTATCTTGATGTAGTGAATTTGCACTTTTTTTGTACTCATACATTTCTCAAGCCAACATCTATTATTGCATGCTTATTATTGATAATACGCAATTCAAACTAGTTATAAAATCAGGTTTAACTTAACTTCGAATTTTACTTACAACTACAAATGAGGTAAAAACATCGATTTTTGATATTTAATGTGCACATACCATTATATTATCACTATATTGTTATATTTTTTCTCATATAAATTCTTACTGTTTTTCTATTATTTCAATTTTAGATATATCATTTTTTGAGTTCATTTTCTTTGTATTGTCTTACTTCAGTTAGAGATTGCTCTTTGGAATATATATCCGAATTAATTTTATGTATATGTGAATATTGAATATTTTTTTCTTAATTCCAATAATAGGAATTACTATTACCTTTTATTATAAAACGAAGCCAAATCTTTACAATTCCCTTTTATTATGATATATCATTTTATAAATATTACCTAATATAAAATAAATCTTTTAATGCAACTAAAATTTCATTAAAGCAGGGTTGTTTGTCAGATAATGGATAATATAAACTTAGACAATAACTCTTTATGCATATAAATTGAATTTTATAATCAAACTAAAGTTCATTACTAATTTTGCTAAAATCATTATATCAACATCTCCTAAGGGTGATTATTGTCAATGGCTTTTTTAATGTCAGCCATTGCTCTATATAGCCATTATAGGTCTCTAAATCTTCATAAATATGTATCAAAAACTTTCTCAATACATAGTCTAAATTCTATTGAATATAGATATTTATATACTAATACTATGTATATATATAAAAACAATATATATCCATCACAATATATTTATTCTACAAAGTTTATGTAAAAATTTACTTGAATATCTTGTAAATATAAGTTTTAGTATTTTCAGAACATAAAATAACTGTGTCATTGCATTTCTTGGCAAGATCTATACATAATGTAACAAATGGTTTTTTTTACATCACTTATACTCTTCTTCTGTTGTCATTCAACATGTTGTAATTCTTAAAACATCATGTGATTGGGGTGGTATACTGATATGGTAATTTATCGTCTTCATGTAATACTTATACAACTGCAATATTATTATTACTTATTTGTTCTATTTCTTTTATTGAATAGCCTAATACAATATCTCTACATAAACTTTCTTTTTATATTCAGATGTAGTTTGTGTAAGTGTATATTGTGTATATACAGGTATATATATATTGTGCCTAGGTTCAAATGATAATATTTTATAGATATAGAATACAAAATTGTAAATTTTTATATTTATTTGTGTGTATCATCTCGCGTGTGGTGCATATTTAATCTATTATATTACTCTAAATTTTTTGAGCTGAGTTAACACATCTTCTTATAGTACTTTTTTTGCTGATGTATTGATTGGAAGCATTTGACTCATTCTTCTTGATAATGGTGATAGAATAAACTTGCGTCTGTTGTTGTATTCTTCATTAGATGATTCTGGACTTGTTGTTTTACTATTATTATTAGTATTAGTATTCTGTACTGATGTTTGTTCTAGTTGTTCTTTTTCTTATATATGGCCTTTTTATGACTTATGATTGTTGAAAGTAGATAGTTGTAGAATATCTTCAACTGTTATAATATTCCCTTGTAATTCAATTAGATAATCTCTGTATACTTCATACATAAATTGTTATTTGTCTGTTATACCCTAATACTTGCATCTTTTTCTGTTATATGTTATTTTTTATTTTAATCTATTTTCATTTTTGATCTGTTTTTGTACCTCCATCTATTTTCATGATTGCTTAAAAAAAATCACTAAAACTCTTTATATTCATATGGTCATATATTACCATCGAATCTCCCTCTCTAAACATTTCTATTTATGCATATCTTTTATTTTCTTCCATCATGTGTTTGTTTATTTTATACTAGTGTGATGTTTTACTACTATTTATGTGATTTAAATTAAAAAAAGAAAGCCAAATTAAAACTAAAGTGCCAATAATTTCCTCTCTTGGCATATAATTAATCCAATAATATATTAACTATTCTATTTTAAGAAATATAAATATAAATTTAACCATAAAAGAGAATGATTCTTATTTACCTTTCTTTAATGTCTTATTTATATTCAATTTTGTCCTATATACTACATATTATACTTATATTATACTTATATATAAATAATGAGAATAATTAAATTTTCAGATGACAAATTTAGAGTTAGGTTTACCATTTCTCCAAAACAATTCAATATTCTCTCATTTTTAGAGTTTCTTCTATTTTGCCTAATAAATATATAATTGAATATTTAGAAATTACAAAAAAATAAATTCTTTGGATAAAGAATCAATATATTAAATTCATTAATATTCAAAGATTAATTGTGTTAAGCATTCTGTTATTTCTATATAGTATTCATACACTTTCAACAACTCAATATAATTTATAGTCTTTTTTAAAGTAATAATGAGATTTAATTGATTCTACTGACTATTTTGAATGAGATTTAAGGAAGGGGTATTAAATACTACATTTTTCATTCAAAAAAAAAAATATTAATAATTAAATTTCAAAGAATCTTTTATATGAAACCCAAACCATAATTTAGTCTTTCATATAATCAGTTAGCCCTAGTATTCATGTATTTGATATCCATTATCCATTATACCTGAATGGATAAAAAATATTTTTATTATAAATTTTTTTATGAATAAATTAAAATTTTATTAAAGCTATCTTTCTTTATTTATCACCTATAAATTAGAAGATTACAGTTTTTAAATTACTTTGCAATTTTAGAAATACCAGAAACTTTCCATTTATGCTAAAGTGAAATATTTATAATTCATGATTCTGAAGAAAACTTATTTCATAATTAAATTATTCTTATTTTTTTTCTTAATAAATGAAAAAGTATCGGACATTTAAAGACTAATAAAGTAAACTCTTTTGTCAGATTACTTCATGTTTAATAATATAATACTCGAGCTCTAAATTTAACTTATTCAAATATAATTGTTAGGCTTCTTGTATTCTTGCTTATTTCAACTCTACTATTCTTAATTCGTAGATCTAAATTAAAAAATCATGTATTATTCAGAACAAGACATAAAGCTTTATTTCCTATAGGTTTTTTATATATTTTTAAATTTTAGTCAAATGCCATTACGTGATAACAAGTCTAATAGAATGTAAATAAAAAGTTCATCTTTAGTTTTAGCCTAAATCTTTAATAAACTTTTATTAAGGTAGGCTTCAATAAAATTTTGAAATATTTCATCAGCAATATGAAAGGAACTACATGCTTTATTGTAAAGATTAATTTGAACTACAAATTTTACTTTAGCAAGAAGGGGGTTCTTTTTTGATTTCAATTGTTTGATATAACTTTGTTTTTATTTGCTTCACTATAACCTGAAATAATTTAAAACTTTTAAATTAAACGTCTTGCCATAATTTAAGTAATTTAATAAATATTGTCTAATAACTCCAAAAAATCTTGATATTTTCTTTGAGGTTTAGATTTAGAAAGTTTTTAATGTGGTTATTTAGCTCATCTTATATATGATTGTCATATTCTTATGTTTATAATTCTAAGCAATTTAATACCTTTCTCAATTAATCTGTTGAAGTTTAAAAGTAATTATATATCTTAAAACTTATCATGTACCATATTGAGAAATTAAGACTATTAT